GAGCCAGCAATCGTGATCAGCAGGTATATAACATGCGCATTATTCATGACAATAAAAAACTGGGTTTTGGAAAAAACCTCTGAGTTTGAAAAAAAAAAAACGCTGAGTTTTGAAAAACATCTGGGTTTTTGAAAAAACCTGAGATTTGAAAAAAAAAATCTGAGTTTAAAAAAAGACATGAGATTTGAAAAAAACCCTGAGTTTTGAAAAAATCTGAGTTCTTAAAAAACTTGAGCTTTTACAAAGAAAAAATTATAGGTCTGAAAATAAGACCCCAAACCTAAAAATAATACGTTTTACCATTCAAATTTCCCAAAATAAATAGCTGGGTTTTTATGTCCCTTATGGGCCACCGTAGGTTTTCATACAATACAATATTTCTGTCTAGTGTAAATCAGCTCAGTCTGTCGCATTTTATACTCGTAGAACGACAAAAATTTTTGGAATTTACGGTTACGTCAAATTAGTCACGTTATACTGTCACGCTATAGTTGGGGGCACAGAGGGATTGGGGGAGGGGTGCGTGAAAATAATGCAAATCGTTTCCAGCTTTGAATTAATGGCTAACTTGTTTATTTTTATTCATAATGGTGAAATTTAAAAGTTATTATACAGCCCCCACTTAAAAATGGTACTCTTTTTTTTGTTACAAAAGTCTTTCAAAAGGGTGCAATGTTCTGAATGGGTTTATGTTTCAGTCTCACATGAGATTCTGTCTCACGCAATGGTCGGCGACAAGATGGTCGCCTGAGTGTCAGTGATAGCCGCTCCCTTCCCTCAGAAAAAAATAGCCCCTTTGCAGCCCAGTTAAAAATCGCCTTTCGGCGATTCTTGTTCTTCATAAGATACTCAGCCTCATTCATTAATTGTTGATTATCCGTGAGAGAGATTTGGAATTATGGAAGAAGGTAACCCGCCACTGACAGTCACTGTTTAAATGAGGCTTCTCCCCATGAAGCGCATGTATGCACGAAACAATGCAAGGGTCACCACTATTACATCTTGCCGCTTGCTAGGACTGAAAGGTTCAAACGATGTTTTATCTATAGATGCCTTTGTAATTTTATTTAGATTTCCAATTTACATTTTGTACTTTGGTATATATTATTACACGATTGTTGTTAAGTGCTATTTTTCATTAAAGACTTCATAACACGAATGAAAAACCATTGCTTTTGTCTTTTCGCCTCTACGATTTACAGCAATAGAAAACGGTTTCCGTGTTTGCAACTCTTTGCATAGCCTGTTAGAAACACGAGAGGAGCTTGAAGAATTCGAGACAGCGGTGCAAACCCGAGACGCGGGCTACGAATTCGAGGGTTTGCATATTACTGTCAAATTCTCCCAACCCCTCTCTTGTTTACATCAGGCTATGCAAACACAGGAAAAAAGCTTTCTATTGCTTTTATAAAATAGCATTTCCGAGAAAAAACGCAAAACTCTTTGTTATGGCAAAGCCCATAAAAGATGAACTCGTACCACTCGCAAAGTCTCGTACACGAAGTCGATCTTGTTTTGCAAAAAGATGCTTTCCAAAATAAGGATTTTTCTCGCTTGACATATCAGCTTGAAAAAATTGACACAGCTTGTTTTTAAAGGTTTTCCAAGTTTCAGCCAACGAAGGAATGGGTAAATAAAGTAAACTTGACGAGTTTAGAACTCGAAAACTTTTTCAAATTCGTGCTCGCGTGATGAGCAAAACAACCACAACCATGTTTGCATAATTGTCGCATGCAGACACTCCTCTCGGCCAATCAGAGCGCGCATACTATCGTAGTTATTTTAGGGACGGACTGTTAGCAGTTCGGGAGTATGCCAGTTTTGGAAGAAGCGAAAACAATGGTCTACGTCACCAACCATAACATGATCACCATGGCGATGGCCATTTTCAAAACATACAAAATGGCGGACAAGGGAGAGGAGAAGAACGAGTATTGACCAAAATTCTCGTTTATTCTTGTTTTATCGAGCCTTTTATTTGTCTTTTTGTTACTATGAATTGGGAAGTACCTTGAGGACAGGGAGTAACCATTCTTGCGCTATAGTTCTTCGCTTATCGCGCGCTTAGTAGGCACTGCGTACTCACTGCGTATGTAATCAGTACATCGAAAATAGGTAAGCACGCTAACAAGTTTGTGCCTATTTATTTCATCATTTTTTTATATCATAAGGAAAAAAGAATGCTTTGGAAACAACTAAAAAGTGAGTTGTTCTATAATTCATTGTAATTTTTCCCGTTGCATCTGTTTCTCTCCCGCGAGTGAGCGACTGGCCGGAGAAGACGGCTGTAATTCAGGTTAGTGTTTTGGTGCAAGCGAGTCATTTGTGAGTAAAATATCTGTTTTTTCGAATATGATGTTCTGTTGGTTTATGTCTTGAAGCAGTTCCGTCCAGGTATACAACAGGTTTACAAGGGATTTCTGAGGGTATTGTGCACGCGTTTTCTTCTTGAAAACCCACAAAGTGAAAATCTTACTTATCATCCCAGATCATTTTTTTTGTCCCGCTTCAAAAAAACCTGTTGCTTTCAATTATTCCACTTTCTGAAGTTAACTGATTATTTGGTCAAGCTTAACAAATGCAAGAGGCTCTTAAGAATTTAATATACATATTGGAAAACTAAGAATTATGCTTCTTACATGCTTTTGGATCTATTGATTAAAATGGGATACTATAGTCTTGGTAGTCCACCGGATTTGACCAGAGGTCAGAGATCAACAAGGTTATGATTTGTTATAAAATATCCTCTTGTATGGGATTTGATGTTACATCCAAATAATACTAAATTATTGTTTTTAACTCTGGGGTTGCCTTTAAACCAAAGGCATTGTAACTTTGAGGAGCACTTTTCTCCAAGTCTTCTCTGTGGGGACCCTCAAACAATTCTATTAGACAAGGTTTGGCCCAAAATAATAAATGATTACTGCCCTTGGCATGGACACAACATAAGTTTTCCAAAGTTCTTTTTCATAGCCGGTTCTTCATGTTTCTATTGAACAGCACTTTCAAGAAAACAAAGCTCACACATCAGAGTAAAGATACAATAAAAGTTATTTATTGTTATATTTTGTTTTTTGTAAATAAACATTTTATTTTAGGTCCTGACAGTTAATTCTTTCCGTATTACTGTTTTTGATCCTGACCTGCATGACTCGCTGCCATGGCTACCTGGCTCGCATATTATACACACTCTTTTATCTCAAAATCTTGTTTTTTTAACACCTTCTTGGATATGAAAACCAAAATCCAAAACTTAATTGATATAATGAAGACAGTAGCAGCTGACATCGATTTTCAATAGTTATCTTGTGAGATGTCTCTCATGTATTATTTATTGGGGAGGATGATTTGTAGAAGACGATGCATTAACATAGATGCTTTTTCATCAAGAGAATCTCAATAATTTAGGATTTATTCAAATACACACATATGCGATATTATGACATCAAATGTGGGCTTATTGCTCATGTAAAGGGATTGATGGGGGAGAGTGTGGCATTTTTCATGTTTCTGATTGACCTTTTGCGCAGCACAGGGACTGAACATATTATGTATTTGGCATCTGTAAAGTATAAACAATATTTGACGCGAGGGATTGAACATTATGTAGAGAAAATCTTCACAAGCCTCCACTTCCATGACTCCTTCCTCATCTATCTCCTTTAAAGACCCTTGAATAAGGGCCACAGTCTCTTCTATGGTTGAATGGTCATTGAGTGTGAGCTTCCACTCACAAGGTACATAAGCCCCCCCTCCAACCTGTTTCCCTCTTACCCATTTTTGAAAGGGTCAAAGGAGGGGCTTTTGTGGTGGGTAAGCCTGTGACCACACTACAAAGAAACAAAAAAACATGGTTAATTCTATTGAGGTAGGGTTGAAGTTGGACATTAAATTTTTCATTACAGTGGAACACATAAGGCGAACCTAAAGCAATATTTTGCCCTCAGAGCACAAATATGTCGTTCTGAAGATATTTAGCATTTTGTCTTCCTGGTTGCTTTTCCCAGCTTTTTGGCACAAACGCGACAACATGTTTGTAATATCTCCACATGTTTGTCTACATTTTTGACGGAAATCCTGATCAAAATAAAAGAAATCAATGTAAGAACCTACTCACACTGATTTAAAACTAATTCCACACACATGATCTGGATCAATAAAGTGATTTCTAGATGAGAGTCGCATAAATTGCCGGTGAACACGACCAAAAACAGACCTGATCGATTATAACTGAAACTACATATACAGGCTAAGGCATAACCATCAATATCAGTAACCCTTCCTGTCCGTTGGCAATTTTCAATGTGTGGTTGCCATTTTTACTAGGTTGTTGCCATCGATGAAACTTTGCCTGAACACACTTTAAACGTTGTAGTTTTGAGGAAAATTAGTCTTGACTTCGTAAAAATTCGGCAAGATACTGAAAACTAAACATAAAGTCATGTACTTACATTCGATACCCGTCAAGATGGCGGCGGCGGCGTCGAAGGCCATTTGAAAACTGTCGCTTTTAACTACCGAAATGTGGCAGGAAAGTTTCCTTGACATTCAAAAAGCAAGGAGAAGGCTTCTTCACCGGTACTGCTAGCTCGGAAGTCCCGGATATTGAACGAGGAGAAGTGGAACAGGCTTTGAAAAAAGCTCCCTTGTTTCTTGCGATTATTTTTTCCTATTTTTGCGTGTTTTTAGCAGAACAATGGAATCATGACGTCATCGCTTCTTCCAAAACTGGCATACTCCCGAACTGGTTAGAAAACTTATTTGGGGTAGGGGGTGGGTGGGGGAAGTACAAAAACAATATTCGCGCAAGGGAAATTAAATCAAAAAAATTCATGCACGCCAATTAACCCTAAAAAATATTCATGCTATGGCCTAAAAAAAAAAAAATTCATACAAGGAATTTGATAACGAAAAAATATTCCTGCGGTTCGAAAATTCCGCACCCCTACCCCTAGCCCATATTCGAGAACGCTCGGTTACCAAGACATTGACTGTGTTTAGCCTGTTCCATGGAAGAGGCTAGACTGTGTTTTGAATCAAAATAGTGTTTCCAGACAAATATAGCTGCAGAATTGACCAGAAAGGACAGGTCACTTCTTCAATGTAAGTAATTCAACTTAAATCGAAACCCATGTTTCCTATAGTCCATGATTCTTGCAGCTGAAACTTAGTGACGGAATGGAATTTTTATAATTTTAGTTCCACTGCTTAATGCCCGTTTCAAACGTCGTGCTACCGCCGTGTCGAACTAAGTTGATCGAATTGAATTCGACTTTAGCACGGCAGTAGTGCGACGTTTGAAACCAAGTCGTGTTACTGTCTTGCTACCGCCGTGCCGAACTCAATTCATAAATTAATATATAGATTTAGCCAAGGCTAAAAGCGAGGCTCCCATTAATACATTTATAATTTGAATCAAACAATAAACTTGTATTCCACAATTCAGTTAACTTTAGAACACATTCATGTGACTTTTCAGGGAAAGGCTAAGTGATTTTAGAGAAAAATAATTTGCAAACAGCCCAAGAGTGAACCAAATCTTACATCGAGTTGATAGCCTCATATGTACACCAAAAAACTGGCAATCGTCTTCGATCACATTTATTAAGAGCCATAATGGCTCTCGATCACCGTAGGTTAATTAGGCCTGGAAAAAAATTCGGGCCGAATTTTTTGCGTTCAACAAGTTTACTTTAAAAAATCTTGCCAACAAATCTGGGTGTGTGTAAACCAACCTTATATATCATTTATACATCACATCTGAGGTGAAACAGTACTATGAGGCACTGTTTTTATCATACAGACCTCGGGCAACACAATGCAGTATTTCACAATTTTGCAATACAAATTGCTATCATTCAATATTCTGGACGAATTCGAAGCACGCGTGTTCTTTAGCTAAACCGTTAAAAAAAATTTCCAAAATCACCTATACGGCCAGCCGGTTCTGACTTTTGCAGTGCTAGCTGTAGAGAGTGTTTGAATGAACACTAACACAGTTACGCTCCAACATAATAAAGAATTTTTATGTTTATTTTTTATTTTGAAATGGTTTAATGCGCTGTATTTTGAGTAGTACTCTGGGAAGCGTTGTTCACTGAACAACTGAAAACAATTGGCACAGCGACTACTAATAATCAATAAAAAGAAATATAATTCGGTGAAACATATACAGAGACAACAATTCTCATTCAGGAAGACAAGTATTAAAGGTGTCTCTAAAAATCCTGAGTCTTAAAGCTTAAAGCTTAAGTTTTTGTGTTAAGCCGGCTTCCCAGTGTTTGCTTTTTGCAAAGGTGAACTTGAGGCAAGAAAATCGCTCAAAGCTTCTTTTACAGCCAGAATTATAACTAAATATTCTTTGGAACGTGTTCTTTCTATTTGCGGTGAGAAAATGTCTAAAGGCTTTTAAAAGATCTGTAAGCTTTAATATAACAAACCTGATACTCGGTCAGATCATTGTCTCAAATCTTACAAACGTGCATAAACAAAATAGCTGCATAAACTACGGTCGACTTCGTTAAATTAGAAATAAAAAACAAACATCAAATACAATAATTACTCTGGCTTACCACTCGAGATGCAGCTCCTGAAGAGTATCAAGTAAAGCCAGTATCGCTTCAGACTTTGCAACCCTCTTACGCATTAAGCAAGGTGAAAACGAAAACGATGCCATCCAAAATCGGATTTCCGACTTTGACAAGTGACGTATTTCTCAACCAAAAACCCAATAAACAAACTAGCCATGAATAACAGAAGACTCCTGATAGCAGCTGAATTTCGTTTTGTACATCCAGTGGAAAAAGACAGTTAAAAATGTCACAAGTTGACACAAAACCCTGTCGGCTTCAGCTGTCAAAGTAAACAAGATTCAAGATGCTGCATAAATTTTCCTCATGAACTCAGCTGTCAAATTTTGACCAATCAGAGCATAAAAATTGGGCGTAGAGCGTGACCAATGCATGAACATGGTGAGAAAGTCAAAAGCAACTGTCTTCCCTGCCTGTAGCAGCTGGCTGAATTTTCGCGTCCGAGGTCAGTTTGAAATCAAAATTTTGATTGTGGGGCACATAAACACAACATATTTCATATGAATTAAAACAAAAATATTAAACTTGAGCCTGCAATCATTTGAAAACCAGTACCTTGTCAGCAGATAACTTCAAAAACATACTTGACCTCGATGGGTTGACACCTGAGCCCGCGATACGTTCAAGTGATACTGGTTAGCGGATACCTTGTTTTGACAGCTGTCAATTGATCACACCATTGATGTCCAATATGTGTATCAGTTTTCCTGTGCTCCGATCCCAAACTAGCTAAAAAGTATGAGATTGAACATTGTTCGCGATCTAGTAAAACAATTAACTGGTCAGCGGACAGTGTCCATATAAATCACGTCACTTTGATGAGTTGACACATGAGCCCGCGATATGGTCATAGGATACTGGTCAGTGGCTATCCTGTTTTGACAGCTGTCACTTGACCATATTGGCAATGTCCTATATAAAAGATGAGGACTTGCAATGACATGCCTGAGACACCCCTCCCTTCCTTTTGATAGTCTCCCCTACCCCACCCGTACAATCTGTAGATGCGTACGTACGTACGTACGCTCGGTCAGTCACGTGAGAACCAAACAAAAAGAGGTTGACCATATTCCATGAGTATGGGGCTCTGGGGCGCTTTGCGCGCATGGGAGCCCCACTTAATTAAATACGTTAGAATATATTTAAAAGTTTGCTAAACCGTTTCTTTATTTTTGTGTTTATGTTTTCGGCAACAGCCGTTCTATTCAACTGAATTAAATTCGACGTCTGAAACCAAGTCGTGCTAGTGTGGTGCTGCAGTCGAGCTACAGTCGAGCCAGCTTAGCACAGCAGTAGCACGACGTTTGAAACAGGCCTAACTGAGAACGTTTTCTTTTAATTATTGTAGTGTGATGCCTCATTCTGGTCCACATGGCAGACATGAAACACAACAAGGTAGGATAGTAATACAGGACAGAAACACAATTTGGGTTCTACACTGTATTTTAAGCATGCAGTTTTAACCGCGCTTGTAAAAGTGAGTCAGCAATCGTAAGAAACGGTTAGGGTTGTTGTTGTTGTTTTTTTTTTTACAATTTCAGAGTATAGGTCACTGTGCCACAGATAACTTGATACAGCAGAAATTGTCTCCAAGAAACACATCTGTCTTATTTTAAATTGCCTGAGTGTGTAAATACCTCTTGAAGTGTTCCTTGCCTTGTGCCAGTCCTTCAGAGCGTGAAGGTCACTGTTCCTGTGATAGAAGGCAATATGTTGCTGTTAATTAAGTCATTTTGAACGTGATCACAGTTTTCAACTTTCAAAGGATAGGTTTACCAATGCCAGCCAGTGTAGGTCACATTGCTGTTGCAAGGAAGGCAACGAAAGTTGTGGCAGTTTCAGTTGTAGATATTATGTCAAGGTGTGTTTCTATCAAATTCTGTGATGGTCCTAATGTCAATTTCATTTGCAGACTTGCTAATAGAATCGAGAAGGACTAAACTGAATTTGCTTTTTAATTGACATTGAAGGGAACTGATACTTTTAATTTACATCTGTTTTTGAGGCCTTTTGGACAATTTATAATTTTAAATTACAATTACATGTAATTAATGTTTCCATTAAGAAATTAGAGCAGTAGCTAGTACAATCTTATGCCTTTTAATGGTCATTAATTTATACTGCTGCAGTAGATTTGAAGTATACTTATTTCCCACCACAAAAGAAGGAAGAATAGCTACTTTAAATAAAGCTCTGTCATCAATTATTATTATGCTGCTGTAGTAGATTTGAAGTATACTTATATCCTACTGCAAAAGAAAGAAAAGCACTCCTACATCAAAAGTATACGCTAAGTATACTGTTCAAATTACACTTGGAGTGCACTGCAATTCATGCAGTATAAAAGGGGTATACTGGAAGTATACTTATCATCAGTAATTGCTGAAACCATATACTCTGAGTATACTAGAAGCCTTCTCTATCAAAATTTCTTTGTATATTTAGCTACCCTGTAGAGAGACTGTGAATAAACCATTATTATTATTATTATTTAGGTTTTAAAGTTTCCCTGTTTTAGTTCTTTTTTCTACTGTATTTTATTTTTTAAAAACAATTAAATGTAGGGATTGGCATAATTTTAACTCTGCTTTTTAGAGAGGTCTTTGTTTTATTAGAAATTTTTATGTTGAATTGCTTTGTGATACTTTTAATTGTTTTGTGGTGTTTTATTTTTCCTTCAGCCTGGGTCAGGATTGGCTCAGCCTCCTATAGCTGACCCAGAGAAAAGAAGATTAATACAGCAGCAACTTGTCCTTTTGCTCCATGTACATAAATGTCAGAGGCGGGAACAGCAAGCTCAAAATGATGCTGTAAAACCTTGCATCTTACCCCATTGTCGAACATTTAAAAATGTTTTGAACCACATGAAAACTTGTACAGCAGGAAAAACATGCCAAGGTTTGTTAGTGTTTTTAGAATTTGTGACTGAGTTACTAATAGATACATATACTTAGGCCTAATTGCATATACCTTCTTGTATTTGCGAAGCTCACTGCATAATAAGGTAATAATGTAAAATCAATAATGTTTTTGTTCATAAATTAAATAACTGAACATCATCTTTTTTGACTTCATTATTATATACATGATTGTTATTTCTCTTTTTAGTCTGCACTGAATTTTTGTAAGAAAAGAGATAATCCTTTTCTTAACTATTGTTCCATTAACCACATAGACCACTTAACCCTTGCCAAACATCCTTGCAATGCTATTGGTATCCACCTAAAAGACACATGATGTTTGTTCTAAGTATTGTCAATAGTTATGAAAGTTTTTGTGGTACATAGTGAAAAGTGTATGTCTGTTTTTGACCCTGCAGTTACCCATTGTGCTTCATCTCGACAAATCATTTCGCACTGGAAAAACTGCCTCAGGCAAGACTGTCCAGTTTGTCTTCCTGTAAAGCTTGCATGTGGCAATAGAAGAGGTATTTGTTATTGTCTATGTTGTCATTAAATGCCAGTAACCAGCTACAGTGATAATTGCACAGCCTGTTTTGGGGATAAAGGCCAAAAGAGAGGAAGTCAAGTAGTACTGATGTGGTAGCTTTGTACTCAAAATATTATAATGAAAACCCTCAAAAATACCAAAAAATAGTTTTTTGCAAATCTTATAGTCAGGGTTTTTCCAGCTCTTATCTACATGCATGTAGCAGTTCTTGGTTGTCCCTGGCAACTTGCCTTGTTTGTTTTAATAGAGCAAAGGGTTTAATTCCGAAGCGTTATGAGCTTTCAAGTTTGATTGTATTTTTTTAATGCATTCTTACATATATTAATGTACATATATATTGTGGTCTCAATGCACTTTCTCTGATTTTCGCATTGTTTTTGTTTGTTCTTCTACTTAAATATTACATTTTAGTTGTTATTGTGAGCAGTTCTTGACAGATTGTTCACTGTTGTGTCGAAAACTTTCATTGTCAAATTTTTGTTCTCTTTATTGCCTACTCTTTGGTGACTTGTGTGTTTTGTCTGATCTAGTGCTTAGCTTTAAACCAAAGTCTCTGTTACTGCTGTTTTGAAAATTTCTGAAGTAAAATTCTTCTTTTACAACCGGAGTTACAGGAAATGTTCAAGGAATGAAAAGCTCTTATGAACGACCACACATGTTAAAGAGCCCATAACCTAAAAACGTTTATTTTCGTAAATGAAAGCACACATTACTACTAGAACCTCTGCGCAACACCGCGTTTGCCTTAGTCTTCTCTCGGAAGCCTCTCGCAAACAAAGGAGCTGTGACATTGATTAACGAACGCGTTACATTAGATACAAGTAAACAAGCGTGGAGTTCTAGAAATATTTGAAACATGCCATGATTAGATGCAACAACACTTGCGACCCTAAGAAAGGAATTACATGAATAAAATCCTCTTTTTCAAATCCTAGATTATTTATGTCTAATGATGGCAAACATGAGCTGTCAATTTACAAAATGTAGTGCTCAGCGGAACAGGTGTGCAAAAGAAATGTAATGTTTAAAAATTCCTAAAAAAAACACATTTTGCTCAAAACGTAAATTTTCCAAAGAAGTTCTAACTTGTAGCAATATGTTCTTTCAGTTAACATAATAAACATTTTTACGTCGCAGACACTTTAGTGATTGCAACCACTTGTGCAGTATATGGTTGATCTTGTCCTTTTTACATTCCTGAACATTTTCCTGAAGCAGTATATTTTCAGTCATTTAACAGAAAACCAGCGTTCCTAAGCCTAAGTTAGAATTTGGTTTTATTTTCTTTCTTGTGATCCTGAAAACTAACCTGTTTTCTCATGCACCAACTGTCTAAGCGCAGCTTTATTCCAAATTTTTTTAATTTTAGCGCTTTTCTGTATATCTCTAGAACGGCTCGACGGAATTCTTTTTAACCCTCATCACCGACTCATCACATAATCCTCACGATGTATACAATGATGTCTGAAACTTCATTTAGATTGATTCACTGTAACACCTTGAAATTTCAAGACAAACCTAGCCTACGAACCGGCAAAAAATCCGCGTTACAACAAAACAGTGAATGTTGCAACTGTTGTCAAAACTGATAGGGAAGGCGACTTACCTTTTAGTTTGGATTCCGCCAGAGCTTTCAGCATCTCCGGGGTGACAGGATCTTTTTTGTCTCGCGGCCTCCCCAAAATTCTCTGAGCCGCACTAATCATAGAGGAAACCAGAGGGTGATCAGATATCTTCGGTAAGCCGGCCATATTCTGCGTCAAATCAATGCTAAACAACTCATTGAGTAGCGGAGAGGGACAGTTGACTTCATTAAGACGACAATGCAGGTAAAGCGCGAACTGGAAAGTGTTGACTGGCACTGTGGCAAAAATGGTTGAACAAGGCCCATCTTCTCCATCTCTTAAAACCTCTAAGGTAAGAACGCAGTCTCACCACGCTGGCCAGTGGCTGGAGATGGACAGGAATAGAAGCAAAAAAACTCGGTCCAAATGTCGGACTTGAAATCATCTGCAAAGAAAAAATACTGACACACACATATAAGAAAATTTTACTAAAAAGAAGAAAAGAAATATGCAGGACTCACTCTCGAAAACAAAATTAAAGCCGCCCTGAAAACGGGAAAAAAATCCGCTAAAATGAATTGGGCACAGATGGTCTCTCATACGAGCACAGATGGTCCCTGGTCGTTAAAAAAGTAAAAAACGAGAATATACTCTGAATCAACAAATCGGAAATATATATCGCCTTCCAGAAACGAGCACCAAGAGAATGAAAAAACCTAATACCATTCCTTAAATACTTTACCAAGTCTCCTGATACTAAATACCGAAATTAGAGAAGTTTTTCCGCTAAACGCAAATAAATTAAAAATTTAGACATAACGTTGCACTTAGACACGTAGTGAGAAAACAGGTTAGATTTTAGGATTGCGAAAAGAAGATACACCAAAATTTCCAAGAAGCGAAATATGATATTGAGAAGCATTCTGCCGGTAATCAAGATTAATTTGAATTATTTAGAACTTTCTTTTAAACAATATAAGAAGGCTATTGAAACTGTAAGGTTTCAAATATACTTACTTTCTATTTGCAGTCAGACATACAGTTTTTTTTCTTCTCACGCGGAGGTTATTTGCTAAACACCAAACTTTAAGTTCCATTTAACTTTTCAGTGGCAAGTCCAGATCGCGCGAAATTCGGCTTTATCGATTTCGAAGTTTTTTTGTTTATTGTTGTCATAGTGATAGCGATTTTACTCAAAACTACATGTTGACAAACTTCACTTTGTTAAGGCGATTTGAAAACATTGGTATGGTCTCCGAAAAACTGTATCGAAACACCTTAACTTGTGATTGCGTTTAGAAACTAACATGCCTTACCTCAATTTGAAACCATGATCAATTTTAATTTGGTAAACTGATTCTTCTTGTGTTATACTTTCAGATTTAATTCCAGCCTCTGTGCAAGCTAGAGGAGAAAAGGCACTTGCCGCTTTTCACAGAGCCCTTGAAACTGGTGGTAGCACGTATGATAAGCGTGTTAAAATTTTGCTTGTTGGCCAGGACCGTGTGGGTAAGACTAGTCTTGGTAAAGCTTTAAGAGGTGAACTTTTTGATGAAGCCGAATGCAGTACTGACGGAGTGCAAATGAACCCTGCTGTCATGAATGCTGGAACAGGCGCGTGGAGAAATCCAGCTTCTGTTGAACACGTTACAGCATATGATCATAAGGTTGCTGCAAAGACCGCTGAGAATTTATTAAGCACACTTTCGGAGCGGCCAGCAACGCAACAACCAACAGAAACCTCGATTACCAGTGAAACAGCTCAGTTGTCTATTGAAGATGGTTAGTGCAATAAACCCTCGGTCAGCCTTTAACTGTTGCTGAGATAAGATAAGATAAGATAATTTATTTAATGCCAGATACACAGGGGGTGGTCTCCCAATCCCCCGAGCCACGGGCTCATGATAAAAGTGTTTGACGATAGAGACGCTAGAAACTGTAGTTTCTGCGAAAACTTGAGAACGTTTCGGTTATGTAGATAGACAAATCAGTCTGCTGGTTTAAAAGTTTCCATTTAAACTATCGATCTTTATTTGGTCGTAAAATAAACTGAATTTTTGAGAAGCTGGGGACCTTTTCTTGAAGCCCCGGTAAATATAAATAACTGTGAAAATGAAATGATCAGCATGTCACGAGCGTTAGATAAAGAAAAAAATCTGGGTCCCCGACAGAATTCGAACCTATGACCTCCCAGACACCGAGCGGCTGCTCTATCCACTTCTCAAAGAGCTACTTGAGCTTGAGAACTCGTGGAGAATAACTGGTTACCTTTACGGGCCCGAAATCAATGATCAGATGAAAATCTAAACGACAAAAGCGAGGTTCCTAGATTAGGGACCAGTACACTTTGTTTTGTTTACTGATGTTACCTACAAACCTATCGAAACTTCGCTCTGTAATGTAAACGATAACATACAGCTTTTCGGGTCCGTTAGTTATCGGGACTTTCAGGAAACGCCCCCTGGCCGGTCCCTGGCTTCTCATACAGGCTTAAACGGCGGCCAAGATACCGACAGCGGACTCTTTGCTTCTTGTGATGTCGGGTCGTAACCAAAACAACCTTTAGTCGCCAATTTTTGTTCACCTACAGCTACGCGACAATCCCGAATGGTATTGTGGGTGCTTATGAGTTAACTGTTCTTCAAAGATAAGAAATTTGAAAGAATGTCACGGGAGTAGACTGCGAGCAGCCTCTCTTTTTTTTGAGACTTGGTGAGAGTAATGCACGCGCGCGGGAGCGGCGAAGCCGCGAGACGCGCGAAACGGGGGCGGCAGCCCGAGAAGAAAAAAGAGATTGCCTGCTTAGCCAGAGCCAATGAATTAAGCGCTGGCCTCACAACGCAAAATACGATTGGCTGATTTGTGAAGCGTTGACAACTAACTGTCAACAATCAAAACCATTGACAAGTTGATGATGGCTGAAGCACTGCAGGAATGTTTGTCACGTTTCCCGAAAAATAAAAAAACATTAGATACAGAGCAAAGACAAGCATAAGCATAAGCATCCGGGTACGTGACGTGATCGTGCAATTTAAATGTTCAAAGCCTCTCTTCACTGTCAAGGAACGCTTTAGTTCCAAAACGGTAGTCTTACTTTAGAACTTAAAACAGAAAGTAGCATAGACTGGAAGACTCTTAGACTGTTTATTTATAATGCTAAAATAGTAATTACCAACGGATGCACTACAGGACATCGCGCTATAGAACAAAGATTCTCAAGAAAGAAAGAAAAAACAAAAAAACAACTCGGCGCCAAAAGAATGATCTTGAGTGACTTGAAGCGTTGGCTTAGCTTTAGTTAAGCTACAATTAGGATATGTAGAACACTATCAACACTATCAACATCCTGCAAACAAGAACTAGGCCACGGGTGATCTCATTCAAAACATAAAGCACAGGAAATGAATTATTAATATAAGAGAAATAGACCAGCTTCATGAGCTCTAAATGTGAGATCAGCTTCCAAAGTTAAGATTTGCTCAGTCAATTAGCTTGGAATCGACTCTAACTCTATGTACTACATAAGCTGCGCTTTAAAAAGAAAAGTGGGAAAACCTCTGTTGTTCAAGCAAACTCTAAGGTCACGTTTTACGTGCCTGGCCTGTCAACATTTCAGTTTGGACGCCAAAACATCACTAGACCATGAAAGATCATTCTCTCTGGCTTTGCGGGTAGTCTCTCTTTTTTCGTGCCTCTCCCGTCCCGCTCCATCAGTCACGCGCTTGGCCATTTGCGTGTCTCGCGTTTTGCTCGACGGACAACAGAAAAATCAATCCCGCGCGTGGCCATTTGCGTGTCTCGCGTTTTGCTCGACGGACAACAGAAAAATCAATCCCGCCCCTGGCCATTCGCGTGTCTCGCGTTTTGCTCGACGGACAACAGAAAAATCAATCCCGCCCCTGGCCATTTGCGTGTCTCGCGTTTTGCTCGACGGACTACGGAAAAAAGAGAGACTGCTCGTAGTCTATCACGGGAGGGACTTACGTTAGTGAGTGCCAAAGGAAAGTAGCAAAAGTAGGTTCGACAGCTACAATGTCAGGAACAGTGTATTGATCATATCCCATATTACCTTTCGGGATTGTCGCATGCACATTATACGTAATGAAAAAGTCGCCCCCATAAAAGAGAAGATCTTCTTCTGTGATAATAAAATTACCTTAGATTTGGCCCAATTTTAGCAGTTTCAAAGCGAAACCAAAATAAAGCCTGAACTTGCTTTAGCAATGAAATAATATTGGAAAATCAAAGAGAACCTGTGCGGTGGTGGTATCAAACCCGTCATACTGCACACCAACCCGTTAAAACCCAAGGACTTGCTCGCAGGCAAAACGCTTTGAGATAACTGAACTCATTTAGTTCGCCTTTCACCGTACAGAAGACCTTCTCCTGATCTGATTTTGTCTTTGCATCAATTTTTCTTCTTAGCTATGTTTTTATGTGTATGTAATTTAAATTATATCCTGCGAAGGATTTTTCCCGGGGAACTAAACATAATAAGAGGGTGTAGAGAGTACAATGTGGTAGGCTTGCATCTGGTTTTGTGACTTTTGTAGCCCAAAGATGGACATCACTTCTTCTCATATTCTTTTTCTTTCTATTTCCTCACCCAATTCCGTCAACAACTAATGAAGAAACCTTCCAGTCGAGCAAGAAAAAAAAGTTCCAAGAGAGAGTAAGAAGAAGAAGAAAAGCGTTCAAAGAAATCGTAAATTAACACTATTGTCATCTTTAGGTTAACCCCTTCATTTCCTTTCGAAAAAAGAATTCGACTCTCACAAAAAAAAAATATTTAGCATGTTTGTACGTAGAGCGCGCTATATACTGTATATAAAGATTACCGATTCACGGCTTTACTTGATTATCGTATCGTTTCTGTCTTAATGCATTTCAGTTGGGACACCTGCGATCGCGCCCTACCGACAGAGTCAGTAGTTTTGGGTTGCGTGCGGTTATTCATTTAAAGGTGCATGAGTAGCGTTGCACCGTGAAAACGTGCGCCGTAACCCCTACTTTTTCTCACGTTTTTATCGTCTTCTTGACTTTGACTACAGGGTGTACCATGTTTCATCGAAAATCGTTGTCAGGTTCTTTTACAAGTGAATCATCTTAAGCCTTATTCTGTCTTTCTTCTTACAGAGCACCAAGATCCATTTCAAGTTCCGGAATTAATGCCAGATGACGTTGCCTTGCTTTTACAGGAAAACCTAGCAAAAAATGAATTTCACCCTGATGAAAAAATTTGGCCTGTAATTTGGGACTTTGCAGGACAGGACATTTACCGTTCTATACATCCAATCTTTATGTCAACAGAGGACATTTACCTTCTTGTTTTTGATCTTACAAAGAAGCTCAGTGAAAAAGCAGTATGTCGAGTGAATGTGGGTCGCAAAGAGCACGCTGTAATAGCCCGCGATGATGAAGACACCAATTTGGATCACTTATTACGGTGGATGGACTTGGTTCACTCTTTAAAGAAGGCAAATCAGAAAGAGAAAGAGAGTATTTCGTATCCCCCAGTCATACTTGTCGGTACTCATGCTGACTGTGTAGATGATCCAAGTAAAGAAATGGAATTAGTGAAACAGAAATGTTCACGCGTGTTTTGTAAACACAGTTATTTACCACACATCAGAGTTTGTTTATCGATCGATAACACAAAAGCCGGCAAATCAGTTGACCAGGAAGAAATCGAAAATTTTCGAATAAAGATTCTCGAGGTAGCCGATAAAATGCCTCACACCAAGAAACTGATCCCCTTGCAGTGGCATCGTGTTGAGAAGGAAATCATTCAACCGAAATGGCAAAGACGAAAGTTCCTCTTTAAGGAATCTTTTCGTGAAAATATTGTTTTACCCTACTGCACTTTTGAAAAGGAAGATGACTTTGATGAACTTGTTCATTTTTTGCATAGCCGCGGGACAATTGTGTACCATGAACTTGAAAATGATGAAGAGAAAGGTGGTCTAGTCATCTTGGATCCCCAGTGGTTAATTAAGATATTCTGCAAGATTATCAATGTGAATCCACAAGAGAACGAGCCATGGTCTATAGAAACAGACCGAAAGGATTTGGCAGAAAAAGGGATTCTTTCCAAGCGGTTGATTGATTACACCAGCGAAGATGAAAGTGTGAATTCAATCAAAGACGGTTTGATTTCTTTCATGGCTAAGTTCAACCTCATCTGCCATTTCCTTCAAGAAAAAGGTGAATCGCAAATCCTCGTCCCTTGTATGCTGCGGACCGCTATGAAATATCAAGACAAAGAAAGTGAAACTGGATCACCAGTACCTGTATACCTCACCTTTCAAACTGCGTATGTTCCGAACGGACTTTTCTCCCGACTCATTGTACTGTTTGTAAAAAATCCGCAATATACAAATATGTACGAGCTGACATCAAATAAAGCCGAATTTGTTCTTGACAAGAACAACAACCATCTATTTCAAATGGAGTGTTACAAAAGTGTTATTAAGCTGGGTTTCAGAAAAGCTGACGGCAGTCTTACCCAAGAGCATTATGAATATGTTTTAAGGTAAAAGTAGTTCTTTCTTTCTACACACATCTTTAAAAGTAGAATATTGTTTCTTACTGTTACTACTGTTACTTCTCTTGTTTGATGCATATCCGTCGTTGACCTGCTAGGCAGGCAAACCGGCAACGGACGTATAACATGAGCGATATTACTGTTTTGAATTTGTTTATGTGGTTTTTCGGTAAAATTTCCGTACAGCCCCATATGTGTACTCAGTGCATTCGTGCACTAACTTCGACTCTATCCATATTAACTTACCGACGCACGCATCACTGAATAAATGTAGGGAGCTGTGCGGAAATCTTACCAACATTTGTTGTCTCAGGTTGCCATAGTCTACTTAGAAAGCTTTAGATTATAAATACATAAGTAGTATACTATGTTGAAATTTAACCCCCGCTGGTGGATTCCCTTTGGATTCCCTCGCAAAAAGTGGATCCCTTTATTAATAGGCATAACAGGCGAGTCTATGACGTCACCCATTGTTATAACCTAGGGAAAAAAATGCGTTCCTTCATTTTAATTAAGTGCCTAGTCAGTGCCTTCCTCCATACTAATTAAGTGCCTAGTCCACCGTTGCATACAAATTAGCTCTGCAATAAAAACCCCAAGAGAGAACCTTGACTATTATTATAAAAACAATTTGAAATAACTTAACAAGGATCAATTAAAACACGCGACTAATAATTGCTAGCAATAAAACCAGACACGAGATACCGTTCTAAAAAAACTTTATTAAAAAACAATGACAAAAAGAGTCAAATACACAGCGATTTGAAAGGAAAAGGAATGAAAATTAATCCTCTGACTGACTATTACAAATCCGTTTTCTCCGTTCTATTTCAAGGAATAATAAATAATCCTTCCGTGTCTACACAATTTCCCTATGGCCTCCAAGCCAAGAGTCCGACTTTCTTTGTTTCTTTCGGTTTGTCTTGTTCTTTGTAGTTGTTCTTTTAGCTTTGCTTTAAAAGAGGCTTCATTTCTTCGTGATCTTGACAGTTCGTACACTGTTTCTTGTGTCTTGCACTGGATTGCGAGTACTTGTTGAGTGATTTTTTCTGGAATTATCCGCTTCACTTTCGTAAACGACGACTTTAACTTTAAGTTGTAGTTTCGCCTCTTGTGAATACTGTCTTCGCTGTATGTGGTCTAACTGATGAACATCCGCGAGATGGTTAGCTAATCTGACAAGGTACTTCGCCCCGCACGATGAAATCGGACAGTTTCTGCAAATTCTCTTGTAAACCATGTTGACAGTTCGATGACTGAATACAAATGACATCTTCAACGCAAATAGTCAGGTTATATAGTGTCAGAAAGGCCAAACACGGGCCAGAAAGGCCATAACAAGGCCTGAAAGGCCAAAACCAGGCCAAAAGGGACAAAAGGAGACAAACGGGCCATTTCTAGTCATGTGTCTTTATTTTTTTCTCAGACACACGCGCATCGCTAGTCACGCAACAGCTCTCAACATTGGAATCATCATCTTTATTAAGTGTAATCACAAATAACAGTGTCTAATTAAAAAAGGTTTGACCGTGAATTAGTAATTGGTATTTCAAATTCCAGATTTTTTTATTTATTGTACAAGTTTACTATTATTGTTATTATTTTCAAGTCAGCACTAAAACGCTCTTAAAGTTTGGTTGTTTACAGTTTTTATTGAAACGCAACAATGCAAAGGTCCAGGAAAAAATAATTCTATAACAGTCATAGTTGGACTAGTTTTTGCTGCTTTTGATACAGTCGATTGAGTAAGAATTTTCGCTTATCGATCGCTAGTTCTGTCGATTCCAACCAATCGAATCCTTCTGTATCTATTAGTTCTTTTTGGGTTTCCATGACTCTTTTGAGGGTCCATTTGGGGTCGATGTGGGGTCGATGTAGGGTCGATGTGGAGTCGATGTAGGGTCGATGTGGGGTCGATGTGAGGTCGATGTGGGGTCGATGTGGGGTCGATGTAAGATCGATTATTATTTACGAAGGAGAATGCTTAGTAGCCCCGCCTTCACCAATTTTCTATAAAAGAGGCGCGTTGCTCTCTGAAGTTTAGTTTCCTATCAGAACGCGTGCGGCTCAAACCAAAGATGACGAGCACAGGCTATACCTTATACCTTCAACAAGGTGCTGAAAAATATGAAGACAGCGAAGAAATAGAGAATATTACACGGTGGCGAGAAGATATGAATTTTATGTTCGAGTGGCAAGAACAATATCTCACGAGTGAGCGCAGCGAACGAGTGAGATATTGCTCTTGCCACGAGAACATAAAATTCATATCTTCGAACTAACGTGTATTATTCTTTTTATTATATAAACATACTGATGACAGCGTTTTTGATGATTTTCCGAAGATTTCCAAAGATTTTTCAAATTGTCCCGAAGACCAGACGAACGTTCCCGAACATTTTCCGAGAATTTCCGAAAATTTCCGAACATGTCCGAAGATTGCCGAGCACTTTCGAGGAAGATCCGAAGATGTTTCGATGATACACCAACGAATTTAAGTACAATTTAAGAGACAAACCTGATGTCAGTGAAATTATCGATATCTTCACATGTGAGAATATCATATCTTCACATGTGAGGATATCGTATCGTTTTTATCAATTTGTTACCACTCGGTATACCACTGACTTTTATATAATAAAGCGATTTCTCCCAAGAAAGCGAAAACTCTAGCCAAGGATCGGAGTCTTCCCAAGAAGAAGAAACAGAAACCTTAGAGACTTGGTCACGCATTCTTGATGAAGCCGAGAAACGCCATGAGGCCCAGCTCAACGCATTAATCAATGAGTACGAAGAGGACGGAGATTCAGAAAATGTGGCCCGCGTAAAAGCTGAGAACGCTCTTCTTCCTGTTTACAGAAAAGAGCTGAGAAACGTACTCTTAGAAAATCTACAATGGATACGTGCAATGAAAAAAGACCCCACCTTCAAAAATGTGATGGAAACCCAAAAAGAGCTTAAAGAAACAGAAGGATTTGATTGGTTGGAATCGACAGAACTAACGATCGATAAGCGAAAATTCTTACTCAATCGACTGTATCAAAAGCAGCCCATTCCACAAGATGAAGACTAGTCCAACTATGAGTGTTTTTGAATTATTTTTTTCCTGGGCCTTTGCATTGTTGCGTTTCAATAAAAACTGTACTAAAAAAACAACCAAACTTTAAGAGCGTTTTACGCTTGCCACGTTTTGCCAATTTTGAAACCAAGAGCACTGCCCACACTTTCAGCCGTTTTTAAGATAACATTGAGGTCAATTTGTTCCACCACTTCATCATGGTAATACATCCATGTGTCATCATTATCCATCATCAGGCAAGAATGTTGGTTTTGACTTGGGTGTTGAATAGCACAACCGTGGCAACGATTCAGCTTTTCTTCTTGAATGAGTTTGTCAACCGTAGCCGCATAAGTCAGTTGGAACACATTACCGATAAGGCTAGCTACCCGTTGACGTTGGACTTTTTCCACTTCATCTACTGTCAGAAGCGGTGTAGCGCTCGATTCGACTTGCATGTTTGGAGCAATGTCTTAAAGAATATTGGTGATCCTAAGACTTTTTCCTTAGCAAAGCGATTGCAAGAATAAAATGCTGAACGGAGAGCGCACTTTTATGTTGAACACATAATAGATTGTCTACTATCCAATCCGGGCTCAAGTTACTTCACGGGCAAGTTTGGGCCGGCCTATTGTTCCTATTGTACTAGAGTGACGCTCATTAGTAAACCTATCCACTTCATTATACATGGAGGAAGGCACTTAATTAGTATGGAGGAAGACACTGACTAGGCACTTAATTAATATGGAGGAACGCATTTTTTTCTCTAGGTTATAACAATGGGTGACGTCATAGACTAGGCACTGACTAGGCACCGACGGGGTTAATTTCTAACATAGTATACTTTTACATGTAGAGCTTTTTTTTTTTAGCTCAAGTTCTTTTTTTGGGCTTTTTTGCCAAAACTTTATTAGGTCTTTTTTTTCACTGATTCGTAGCCAGTTAGATAAGTTCTTGGAAAAGCTTCAAAGGGAGTGTCATTGGCTGGAATCAATGTCTGTGGAGTTGTGTGCTCGATGTACAGTCTGCATAGGAACAGCGACAACAGAGCCCTGCGCGAGGCACGAGGAAAGGTCATGTAGGCACCATGATTGTGCTCACTACATACCTTTGGACGGAAGAAGTCTTTGCTGTAAGCCTGGTCAAATGCTAGAAAAAAAAACCCTCAAGCCTTGGATAAAGGCTATTAAACACATTTCTAAGGTGCGTAACGTACATGGATGACCCTTAAGCTTGATAAGACAACCGTTTAACGACATCGTTAAAGTTTCTCAAGTGATGTAATTCAGATAAAGTTGCTCGCAGTTTCATTTACTTTCGCGCCGACTTTGACTGACTAATGTAGTGCAATGAATATTAATGAGAGTAAGCCGATTTTTGACAATACATGTTCAGTTTTTATGAGTTAAAACTTTATTGTAAAATGATTTTCGTGATAAAAAATTTTGATGTATGTATTGAGACAAATAAGGTGGAAATATGTATAAAATGATATTAAAACAAGCAAAGTAATTAATGGTGTGAATGAAGTCAGAAATAGGCTAGTCACATATGAACAAACTCATTTTGGGGGAAAAAACGTACTGCGACACATTTGGGGTAGAATATACACCATTTGGTTAAATTTATTTCTTTGCAGAGGCTGAGGCGTTCCAGCTTACTTTTCAAAACTGATCAATCAGGTAAGTCATCGTTTCAGTTACACTTGATACATATACGAAAATGTGACAGCATTACATGACTACCATTCTTCGTTCAAGTGAATTTTGTGCTGTTATAAAAGTTCTGAGACGCCTACCTCCATCGTAATCTAGTTCTTTGCAAACTCATAATTCCCTGCTACGCCCACTCTTTACATTATAGATATAAAAATCACAATAATTATGATAATAATAAATCGTAAATCATGCAGCTAAAAATATTAAAACATATAATTTCGCAAGGCATTTTAAAAATCCTCGATTCCTTGGGCCTTCCTTATTTTTGCGGGCAAGGAGTTCCCCAACATGGCAGTAATGTAAGAAAACGATTTGTGTACTCATTCGAAATTAAGGTGATTCCCTGTTTTGCATTTCGCATCTCTTACTGCGCATAACAAGATGGCGTCCGTAAAAAAGAGCATGTGAAGTAACATTATTAAAATGAAGTTGACCGAAGAGAAACGTTATTGCAATTTTTGCTTGCGGTTGTTTCTTACCGAGGTGAGACTCAATGTGGTGGGAATGTGCATAACGTAAGCACTACGCGTATTACTGAGTTTGACTTCCTCACGGAGAACCTCGATAGTGGATGCTTTAAGGCTCTCTGTATGTTTTTTTTTTTAATCCATACATTTCAATAGAAAATTGACTGAAAATTTCCCTCTGCACATCACTGACTCAACAATCAAAGGAGTTTTTCCTAAACGGATAATAATAATATAAATGAACGATACCTTTTTAATTAAATACAGTGTCCCTTTCTGAGAAGCTGATACAATATTCAAGATACCCACAAAACCGGAGTTTAGTGAGGGCAATTTAATCGAACATTATTGCTACTTTGGTTTTTCTTTTCGGTGTAAGTTCCACTACAGTAAAGGCCTACCATCCATCGTTTTAGTTGATATCTGTGACTTTCAAGTGGGGTGGGGTGGGGGTATACTTAACAGGTTTTAGAAACTGATGAGCATAAAGTGAAATCCATCATTGCTTTTTGCTTTCATAGACGAAACTCCAAAAGAAGAAGGAAAAAGAAAAAAGCAGAAGGTGGAGGAGAAAGTGGATAAAGGTATACATCAAGACAGGATAAAATAAAAACCTGATTAGAAAGTTCTTAAGCAGCGTCTTCCTAAGGGTCGTCTTGTTTTTGTAGCACGCACTATGTCACCGTCTGTTTTAGTCCATAATTAAGGACTCGTAGGGCACGTTGTTAACGTTTAACCTTCGGAGCAAATACCCGCCATCGTCCATTATTTTTTTTTTTGACGAATTTAATCATTCTCTGATTGGTTTAGCCAGATTTCTATCCATCCGTAACTAATTGCTTCATGTGTTGTTTGATGTTGTTTGAGTTTTAGTAGGAACGAATATTTTTTAATTGTTTTGAATATTGAAGAGGGTCTCAATGGGGTGGTGGCTTTTACGGTTATCGGCTAAAATTTTGGCTCTTTTACGGCTATCGGTTAATTTTTTTCAGTTACGGTTAACAAAATTTAATAATTAATTTCTTTTGTTTCAAGGAGTTAAATATTAATAAACCTGTATTCTTTGTATCTTCAAAGCAAAATAAAGGTCTTAGGATCATCACGGGATAAAATGAAGTTATTCTATTGAAAAATTTTAACATTTGATAGATCATACTATTTATAAAGTATTCCATTTTAAATATTATTTTACGCATAGAAATGTCAATAGTCAATGTAAAAATAATTTTTGCGAAAAAGCAAAAGCAGACCCGCGAACGCCTAACTCAAGGCAGGGGGAGGAAAAATTAATCATGACAGAAATGGCTGTTTTCACACTACAGACGGATGTGAGATAAGTTACCCGTTTGATAATTCGCATAAGATAGGTAACACGTCTTAATTTGAACTCGAAATGGAAAGGGTTTTGATTTTGAATGAAAAATCCGCCTGACTTTATCCTTCAATTTCGAAGGACTGTTTGATGACGGGATTATCCGTTCCAGATAGCCTCTGTACAGCCGCCCCCTCCCCTCAGAAAAAATCGGAGAAGGGGTGTCTGTCGGGAAGGAGACCACTGTACACAGGCTGGTCTCAGACGGATAATCCATTTCTACCTCTAGTGTGAAAACGGCCAAAACCAAAATTCCGGTGACCAGTGTTTTTAATGATAGCGAAGGACTTGACGGAACGACTGTCTGCCGTTACCCGCTTATCCGTAGGCGCCATTATTCCGCGCGCCTAATTCTTTTCGGGTCACGTGGTCCTAGCGAGTTTGCCCGAGATTGCGTGGGAAGAAGCCGTACAGGGACTAGGCATGGCAATGTCAACCGTAGCGTCAGAGAAAAACGGGAAATGTTGTTTATCGGCAACGTGTTTTACAAACAGTGACATCTCTAGCTGCGTGTTGTTTCACTAGTGTTTCGAGGGCACGACCTCCTGAAAATCGCAAATATTAATCCCCAGCAATACATTAATCTATTTTCGCTATGAAAAAAAAAATTAGTTACCCGAGAGAGCGGCGGAACTGGAACCTAGGTCTTGGTCAACACCTAAAAGGCGCTTTGGCTAACGTGCGTACAGAGTCACACTAGCCGGGTCATAAAAAATGCAACCATAGGTGAGTTTAGTACCTTCCTTAAAAGTAGCAAATCTAGGGAACAATCAGTATTTTACGGTTAACTCTTTTTTACCCTATTTACGGCTAACGGTTAAAATTTTTCAATTTTTACGGCTATCGACTAAATTTTTGGCCGTTTTACGCCTATCGGTTAACCCCATTGAGACCCTCATTGAACATTACGCCGTTGGAATACGCAAAAACGAAACTATATGTAAAAATTCAATTTAAATGTCACAAATTTGCTAAAACTTTGCCTGTGACCGCCTAACTAATTTTACGTGCCAAGAGAATTATCACGCTTTGGAAAAAAGTGCACCTGTAGATTTGAAGTCACTACACAACGTGACTCCCGTGATGAATGGTCTTAAGTTTTCAGGCACGTAGTTTTTGATGGACATTCGGCTCCTTGTCAGCTGCATCCTCGGATACCTGGGGGCTGTCAGTCGGGTCGGGAAAAACGGCGGCGAAAGTTTTCAGGAACGGACGAGAGAGCTTCTGCGTTGCTACTCTTAACAAACCAGTTCCACGACTCATTCGAATGCTTGTCTCTGATTGCATTTTTTGCCCACGAAAAAGTCTTCGAGTAGAATGCCCAGTCACTTCCGGGAATTTTGACCGGCAAGAGCTGCATTCGAGCCATGATGTGGTCTTAAAAATAAGGCAGTGACTTTAAAAGTTTTTCGACTCTGATTGTGAGTTAATCGTAACCAATTCTCAGTGGGAACCACCGGAATAACGAGAAACATCACATTGAAGGTCTTACCTTCGATTAATGCCACCTTATCGGATTTCACTGGGATTTCCCCGCTACAAACCAACCAAAAACGCGCCATTTTTGTATGGATTTTCTCGTGCGTGGACCTCTGACCTCAATAGACTGGGAATTCTACGCGATGCATAACAACAAAGTTGAGCCACATTAAGTATCGTTAACGGAAAATGAATTACGTTTATCCTTAGAAACTCTTTTTGAAAATAGGGGGTAGGGACATCCTGAGCCGAAGAATAGCCTACGTTTGATATATTAAAATTCCAACATGACTACGAGACATTCTGGTCATTTTTCTATATTTGGTTTGGTTTTCTCTGTGCTCAAGTCTCTTCTGGGGACTGCTAGGCAATGGAGTCGTGAAAACTTTGCAATTTTGTCCTTAAAGCCTCGGAGTCATGTTAGAATTTTGATATCGTAAGCTATTGGCATGTTAGCGTTGGTAACGGTTAGGATTTATCCTAACTTGGGAGGCCTTCGTTTATGCAGCTTCTGATTCGTTTTCTGCAAGTGACAGGGTCGTTCATGAACGGTTACTGCTCATAGAAAAAACAGAAATCACGTTCAATTCTTAGTTTCCGAAGGAAAACGTTAACTTTTTTTGTTTTTATTCTTTTTTAAGAAGTCAGAGATGGCGTGGTTACTGACGATGATTTAGAAGGGTTATCTTTGCAGCTTGGGAGATCATGGGATGCTCTTGCGCGGCGCCTGGAATTCAGCCCAGCAGAAATAGAAGGATTTGACCACGCTAAAAAAGAACTCAAAGACAAATCTTTGCGCATGTTGTTTAGGTGGAAAGAAAAAAGTGGTCGGTCAGCAGCTTACAAGGTGTTGTACGAGGCCTTGTGTCATAAATTTGTTGATCGCAAAGATTTAGCAGAACAATTTTGCAATGCGTGAATCTTCAGTTCCAAGCGAGAAGAATCAAAGGCTCCTCTCTTGTGAGCCAGCTCATGGATGAATTAGACAAGTGTAGAAAAGACAGTTCAATAATGAAAGTAATACTTGGGAACTCGTGATACAATAAAAGAAAATATTATTTTAAGTTTACCTTTATAGCACGAGACATACCTGCTAAAAAAGTCTTATTTGAGTATTTTAGTCAGTAATGAATGTTAATACAGTCAGCGACAACCCTCTATTGTTTTACCTTGCAGTCGCTTACGACAGCTCATTCTCGTGAGCGACCAGCTCCAGTAACGACCACTTTGTCGAATTTCATCAGACGTGGTCTCTTACGGGAGTTTCGACTATATTATGCAATAATTAATGCTGTAAATATTTTTTATCAGCTTTTAGTTGTATGACATTTTATTGTCATTAATTTAATTTTATTTATTTTGAGTTTTGCTTGGTGGCACCCTACAGTCGCCCCCATTCTAGGACTAGTAATTTTTGAATAAAGGTCCAATGTAAGTTATTAGAATACGAGAGTTTCGACTATATTGTACAATAATTAAAGCTGTAAATATTTTTTATCAGTTTTTAGTTGTATGACATTTTATTGTCCTTAATTTAATTTTATTTATTTGAGTCTTGCTTGGTGGCACCCTACAGTCACCCCCATTTTAGGACTAGTAATTTTTGAATAAAGGTCGAATGTAAGTTATTAGAATAGTTTCCAGGAGTTCTTTTGATGCACATGGCAATCCTATTTTTGTAAGTTTACGAATTTTAAAATTTGAAGATATCATCAAACTCCAAATAGGTAAAGTTATGTACCTTTATAAACGCGGCCTTCTTCCTAACAGTTTCAATGACATGTTTTTGCTTAACTGTGACGTACATTCATAGAACACTAGAAGTAAGAATTCCTTCCGTTTGCCCTACTGCAGGACAAATGTAAGGAAATTTTCACATCGTTTTCAAGGCCCCAAAATATTTAATTCCCTTAGCTCTGAAATTCAGAATGCCTCTGGTACTGCTTTGTTCAATTCTAAACTTAAGTCTTTTTTTCTTGGTATAAGAACACTTTAATTATAAGCTCTCCTAATTCTTGTGTGTAGTTTTTCGCTTCTTTCTCTTCTTTTTTGTTTCTCACCTTTTCTTTCTCGTTTTTGCACTCACACGTTCAGCCTTTTCTATTTTTATCCTATGTAATGATTATTTTATATGTTCCAAACAAATTGTGCGTACTTAGAGTAAGATTGCCGATGTCAGTATTGTAATTATTAATTAGATAACATAATTTTAAAGGTGGTCTCCCTTGCCTCATCTTTTTTTAACATTTTACATGTATATTTTGTGTGTATGGCAGAACAATAAAAGTTGAAGCCTTAGGACAGTCAAGTAGTGACTTTCTTGTTAGAGGTTAAAGTGTCTTTCGTTCTTCTCGTGAGGAGTTTTTGTTGTTTTGCGATCCATTTGTTGCAGCCAGGTTGATTAACGTGATAAGGATGTCAGCTTTGTTTTTGTGTCCTTTGCTTCTAGTTGATACAACAAATTGTCGATTCGTCCAAATAAAATCAAACTAAAGTAAATATTCCCCAACGTTGCTTTAACAATTCAAGGTCCATTTTTCGCAGCTAGGGTTCTTTGGCGTTTTAGCTCTTCACGGAACGAAATGCCATTTTCAGGCCGTCATTACACGATAGCACTTAATTGATCGCATCCTTTCCGTGATTTTGGGCAAAAATGTAGTTTGTTAAATCCTCCAAATAAAAATCTCCATTTTCCGCAATCGGTGTTGTCAGGGTTCTTTACCTTATTAGAGACCTTAAGATCGAGGTTTGGCCATCTTACGCCGAACACGGCGGTTTTCGGTTAGACGTATCACATTGGCCGTCTGCCCATATTTGGATCTTAGGTTCGTGGGTGGTAGAGAGCAGCTTCCATATTTGTTTTCATTCATTGTTGACTTCTAGTTTAGCTGAGAAATCGTCTTCAAAATTTCATTTAATTTCGATGAAAATAAATTCGATAATCAAGAAGCAAAAGTGTTCAAAAAAAGTAGCATATCCTATCAAACGTGGGATTGTGATGTTTTAAGGTGCAAAAATCCCTGCGGAAAATCACTTCCCTCTGGAGCGTGCTCTAACCTCAAACCGCAAATCTGACGGCAAAGTACTAGTCACGTGAGTTCTTGACGTTTGCAGTTTGCGGGAACTACCGGAAAACCTCAATCTTAAGGTCTCTATTAACTTTCCACTGTTTCCATTGTCGGTACTAATACTCATCTTCAGCTGGCCACGAAAAATCTTACTACGGGGCTGCCTATAAGGCACGCCCAGTTATAAATTACCTTCCGTCGGGTCGACCTGCACCGACTCCAAACAAGGTCTGTGATTGGCTGGGAAAACGATAGGGCTGGTGACATAACAATGCCGCTATCTCTGAAAACAATAGGTAGTGCAGATGCCATAAGAGGTTTAGAGTGGTGCTGCTGGTGAATAGCTTCCGTCGGTCGTTTCCGTCGAAAAATGAACGCTGTTGGTTTATTAACCCAGAAGGCGTTGCGTGTTTCCATGAAGCATCTTTGCAGCTTCTGTTGCAAGTCTTCCCAGGTCAACTGACTGGCGTGCAATATTACCCCTAATGATCGGTTGTTCTGATTCTCCTATTAAAAATCCCTGAAAAGTACGAATATATAACTCGTATAATTATGTATCCTCCTAGGAACAACCTTTTCCCTTTAGAAAGAGCCATTTAACTGCAAATGTTCTTAATTGATCGACTGTTATATGCTCGTTGATTGCGAAACAATATCGCAAGTGAACTGGTCTTCTGTGAGGTTAAATAAGGCATTCGACCTTACTGAATCCGAGATTTGCTGTTAGCCAAGCGGGAGAGGTGAGGGTGTAAGGTGAAAAGAAGCAAAAAAAAAATGTTTCCTGGTCTCACGGAAGTTGCAATAACCCAATGACGTAATTCAAAAGATTGAAAAAAGACTGAACTATACCCACACCACCAGAATGCAAACCAACAATAGTTTCGGCAACTCCAAGAAACATCCAAACATCAGCGGAGTGTGCGAGGTAAGTTTTGTTTCTTCCCCAAGGCTCCTATTCTTTTTGCTATTATGGTTCGGAGTTTTCTCGTAGACAAACGGTTCAGTTAGCAAATACAATTCCATGACCTTTCAAGGGCTCTATCCTCGGCAGAAGCTCAAAGGGGCATGGCATTGCGAGAGTGGGTGCGGGCGCAAAATGCTTGGTAAGAGTCTTTCGGTTTTTGCGCCTGCACTCACTTTTCGCAGCGGAACGTATGAGAGAGTTCCAAGGGACCACGAGAAAAGAGGACTTTTGCTCCAGTCTGTAAATGTCAGCAGCCCATCATCATCGTCATAGGCTCCTGTAAAAGTCCTTTATTGTAAGGCTCGCTTAACCCTTCAAGTCCCAATGGTGACCAACATCAATTTTCTCCTAACCATAGCCATAGATTTTCCAGAGATTAGGTGATAAAAATTAATAAATTGATCACCTAAGAGAAAATGCTTTGATCTTTTATCAAATTCCCTCAACACATTCTTTAAGGAAATGTATAGAGATCAGTTTGGAGAATTTGTATGTGGATATTGGGGCTTAAAGGTTTAACTCACCTCTAAGAACTCATGAGGTTGACTTGTAGCAAGTTTAACCATTGAGTAAACGAATGAAAACTTAAAACGGGCAAAAACGATCCAACGATTTGGTGATTTACCCTCTTACAAACCTTAGCTAACTGTATTTAAGAGACTATTATTTGTTGTTTTAAAATAATTTATTTGATTTTTTTTTGGTTCATTAACTTTGTACAACTACTACTAATACACAATGGTACCCTTAAAATGAAGACCAGTGAATTAAATGAACGAGCTAAATGTGTAAATGACACCCCAAGAGATGACTGCATATTTGGTAACCATCTGTGCCTGAGCGCACCCTTACAACTGCTGAGAGAGCATGCCACCATTTTCTAAAATATCCTCGTTAACTGTTTCATAACTATCTGAACCTACTATACCGTTCACTCGAAAACGAAACGAGAGCGACGGTTCCGGGTTCGGTAGATACTTCCAAGTATTCCGAGATGAGCATCAGATGATTTGTTCACTTCTCATTAAAAAAACTTACAAGATGCACTGCTAACTTCCACGCGGAAAGCGCACTACTAGTCACAAGAGAGGGTCCCCAATAGGGTTCTTCAATCCCGTAATCCCGACCCGAAATTTCGTGCAATCCCGTAATCCCGAGGGTATTATTTACCATCTTTGCCCTTTATTTAACCTTAGTTTGCACTTTTTTGCACCAAATTTGCACTGAGTAAATTTGTTCATGCGACGTTTTATGGAGGACGTGAACACACAACGCAGAAGATTACTTTCTCCCTTTAAACTTGGATACAGTCCTTAAGAATTTACCTCCAGGAAACTGATTTGCCTATATCAATTGCCATACTAAGGGAGGTCAAACAAACGCGATTAAGTACAAGTTCATCTTTTAGTGACGGTTTTACTACTGTCGCCGTCGTGACACCCTGCCACCAGAGCCTCTTTTTGACTTCTTCTTGCTAGAGGCGGAGTAAAGGTGATGTTACACGAGACGATTCACAACAACGACTTTTTAGCGCAACACAGCGTTGCAATGTTATAACAACGTTGTAACTATTCGAAACAATGTCGCAACAACGTTGCAACGCTGTGTTGCGCTAAAAATCGTTGCTTCGAATCGTCTCGTGTAACATCACCTTTAATCCTCCTCGATCACCTTAAGGAAGCACATAACTGAGCCCAACGCAGCCCGATATACCAAGCGCAAGGCAATTAGGCCTGGGTTCGAACATGTAGCCTAGCAACACGCAGCGCATGCTCGACAAAGATCTTACTCGATTCAAGAAGAAGTCTTGGCCGATTACGCTAAAAGAAAAGCTCTGCTGACAGGGTACATGGTGATTGCTTAAGCTCCCTAATTTTTGAGGAAGAGATTTCATTAAGTTATAAGTTACCAATCTTTATGTACACCTAGATCAAGAGCAACTGCTCAAATACATAAATAGGGTGCCATTTTGTGACTACAATCACAATAAAACAGCCTTTGATTGCAAATAGAGAGCTTTAGATTCTGACACGAGTACGATTACGAGTACAAGACTTTCTCAATACTGAGTATTGCTCACGCGTGAACCAGCACCATTTTGGCGGGAAATGTGGAAGCCGTCGTTACTCTACTACGAGTTTTTGCGGGAATGTCAAGTGGCGGAAACAAGTTATCAAATGTTAGAAGTTTTATCACTTGGCAATCGGGAGAGGGAGTAACCTCCTTCACTAAAGGTAACAGTGCTAACTTTTCTAGTGGAAATGGTAAAATGAAGCTTTCCGGGGAGTCTACATTTTGAGAAGACGCGGAAAAACTTTAAAGTCAAATCTCGTACTCGTAGTCGTCCTCGCACTTGAATCTAAAGGTCTCTAATAATCTTGACACAACATTCTGGCTATGAACCCCAGATCTTGCTCCTCT